AACAATTCTGTAATATTGGACAAGCTTCTAAAGAATCGAAACTGTTCATGGATGAGTTGCAAAGAGGAAACATAAGTTGGAGGGAGGGATATATTCACTGAATAAGTTATTCATGATGGAGAGGTTCCCAGCTTTAATAGCAACTGTGTATCAGGAAACGTCATGCTGACCCTAACTCAGAATCATATTTTGGCACTAAAGAAATTAGAGCTCAGATTTTCAGAACCAAAAATCAGATTGTTTTTTGTGGATTAGGTGCGTGAAAGCAACCTTGCACCTTTGTGCCCCTGCACAGCAACAGGACACACACAGTACAGAGCAATGAAGGACTGGTTCTCTTGAGAGTCCCTAGAGTTTAGGACACCCTTGTGCACCAGGCGGAGTATACTGCTCTGAAATGCTGTGGTAGCTGGCACATTCCTAGTGTGTGTCCTATAGCCCACTGGGAGCATGGGCTCAGCACTGCATGTAGTGTGCAAAGAGGGGCTGATTCAGCAAGGTACTTAAGCATGTGCCTAACTTTAAGGACACTGGCTTATGTGCTTTAAGGACACAAATTAAGTACCTAATTTGTGCATTACCATAACCACATGTGCTGTGCACAGGTGACCAAGCAGTAGGATGTCAAAGTTGTGTGTGACTGGGACCACACAATCACAGGAACTGTACAGGAAAATTATCTGAGCAAATACACTCATGTACAGAGAGGTTTGAGGGTTGGGGAAACAGGCCAAGAGAACACATTACTATGTAGCTCTCCTGGCTCTAGACACCTTAAGAAATGTGGGGGCTAGTGCAGCATCAGGGTTCCACAGCCTGTGGGGGAGGATTCCTTTCAGTCCATGAACCCCCAACCAGTGCTAAGGCCACAGGAGAGTGGATTTAGCCATAAGAAAATGTTAACTTGCCTCTGTTAACAGAGCAGTATTCCTTAAATTCAATTCAATTCAATTAAAATTCCTTTGCTTCAGAATAAAAGCAGGAGCCCCAAAAGTCACTAGCTGTTCTACAATCAGGCATGTCCAGTCCTTTCTGAGGCTTAATTGATCATTTAAACACTGCACAAGAAGATACGACTTAGGGTGCGTCTACACTACACTGTTATTTCAAGATAACTAGCATTATTTCGAAATAACAAAGTGAGAGTCTACACAGCCATTCTGTTATTTTGAAATAATTTTGAAAAAAGGGACGGCTTATTCCGAAATCTGTAGACCTCATTCTACAAAGAATAATGTCTATTCTGAAATAGCTATTTCAAAATAAGGCGTGTGTCGACGCTCCACTGCTGCTATTTTGAAATAGCCCCTCACCAGCGCCATTCTAAGTTTTTCCTCCCCGGTGCCTCCTTGGGCTCTAAATCAGGATAGAACATCTACATCAGGGAAGCCTGCCTTGGACTAATTTTGAGGCTTCCCTGCAGTGTAGATGTGCTATTTCAAAATAAGCTATTTCAGAATAACTGAATAGCTAAGTTTGAAATAGCCGTGCAGTGTAGATGTATCTTTAGTCACATTCTTCCACACATCCACCTTGGGAGGAACTTACTTCTGATTATTTTGTTTGGAAATCACTCTGGAATCTGAGGGCTGAATTTCACACAGATGAAGTGGAATAAAAGCTCCCCATGAAAGGAAGATACTTCTATATTCCACAACTCTTGCTTCATTGCAGCCGACAATCTGCTGACACCCAGAGGTGCTCTTAATCTGGCTCATCTTCTGCGGAGGTGGGCAATCCAGTATGCTGGTAGTAGCAACATCAAACTCTGGGGTGCCTCAATGGTCAAGGCAAATGACCAGTTCACTTGAAGTTGCTACTTAATGATACTCCCCTTAGGGACATTTTAAACTGCTGCTGGAGATGGGGAGTCTTATGGGAGGGACAAGGACTCCCAGGGTGTGTCTACACAGCAGTGTTTTTTGGGAATAATGGACATTATTCCAAACTAACAATGCAAGCGTCTACACAGCAATTCCATTATTTTGAAATAACAGACTTCTGTAAACCTCATTCCATGAGGAATAACGCCTCTTCCAAAACTGCCATTTCAAATGAGCTCTCGTGTGGACGCTCCATTGCTGCTATTTCTAACTTGCTCCTCCCCAGGGCCATTCAAAGTCATTACTCCCTAGTACTTCCTGGGGCTCTAAATGGAGGTAGCACATCCACATTCGGGGAGCCTGCCTCAGACTAATTTTGAGGCATCCCTGAAGTTTAGAAGCACTATTTTAAAATAAGCTATTTTGGAGTGGTTCTTCTGAAATTGCTATTCTAAAATAAGCATGCAGTGTAGACGTACCCCCAAGAGGCAAAAAGGAAAAAAGAACAGAATAGTGAAATCACATAAATACTGGGTGTGGGGGTGAGGTGGAGAGGAGGATTTGACCCAGTGAGTATCCAGAACTGTGGCATCCATGGTGACTCTATACTTTGGGATGCTGATCCTATGATTTTAGCTACCCTGAGTCCCAGCTAGAAGTTCTGTTTCTATAAACTAATCTGCAGGAAGACAGTTTTCGCTGTTATTGCATGCATTTACCTGCTTTGCCGATGCCGCTGGTTTTCCCAGAATGAGGCTGAGGTTGGTACTGCCATTTGTAAACATTAATAATTAAATACTGTACATTAGAAATGAAAAAGGCCTGTTATTCCTAAACATTTAGTCTATCCCTTCAGGCCAGTGCAAGATGGCTCACTAAAATACAACACACGGTGCTTTACCCCCTACAGGGGTAAGTGTCCCAAAGGATGGGGCTTTCTCTTTTTTCTTTTGGGGGAAACAAATCCATTTTTCCCAATAATAACGTTAATTACTTATTATAGGAACCAAATTTTTCTTTGGCCCTATTTAATGCCAATAATCCCAGTAATAAGCCATCTGGGCTAATGTTTTTCTTCTTGGTGTTTACATCCTTCAAATATTGGTAAAACGTTATTGTGTCACCAGAGAAAATGTGCAGCCATTTTTCAGACCAACATCTTCAAAATAGCAAGTTATTGTAGCAATTGCATGAGAAAATTAACCTTGCCTGTGTAAAACGATGCATGCAAATATCCAGCTGCCCTATTTACTGCTACAAACCTGTCGGCTGTTTCAATGCACAGTCGCAGATGGCTTTTAAAAAAGACAGACTGAATTCTTTCCAAAAGAAAGCATTGCTCTTCGGGCTGGAGCCTGGGAACCCAAACACCTGAGCTCTGTCCTACGCTTAGCTACTGACCCAACATGTGATCTTGGAACAAGTCACTTACCACTTTGTTCTCATTTTGCCTCTCAGTAATGTGAGTGTAAAACTTCCCCCTACCTAGTTCACACTGGGCCAGAGAAGCTTAATTCATTTTGAAATCTCTTTGATCACTCTGATATGTGATCTCATCAGATGAAAGTAACTAGGGAGATGTAAAGTTTCACTAACCTTCCCTCATAAACCAATCTTCCTTCCCCTACTCACTTTTGCTGCTCTTCTCCAAACTAGCTAACCCCAAGAGTAAGTTAATGTTTGTAACACTTGCTTTCGTATTACAAAACTGCTTCTCTTCCCCTGCAACACTTATCCTAATTGCCCTAAATAGAGTTTGCTTCTGAATTATAAAACACATGGTGGCCTCTGCAGTAACCTCCTTCATACGACTTATTACAAACCAGCCTTTGTTCCTGGACATGAGTCATGCAGTGGAAGTAGTAAAAATTGTTCACGATGTATTTGTGAAATCCCCAAACAATTGAGAAATCTCCCATTACCAACAAAAAGTCTCACAGAATGTGCACAGAACAGACAAGTAGGTGGAGCCCTTCCAGAAATGATCTTGAGGTTTGGGTGCACTGTGTTAGGGTATGTCTACACTTGCACTCTAGTTCGAACTAGGGGTGCAAATGTAGGCGACTGAAATTGCTAATGAAGCCAGGATTTAAATATACCACATCATTAGCATGATCTCGCTGGCGCGTTACTCCGCTCAACAGCTGATTCGAAAGTGAAAGTGCGCACCGGGACGCGTTAGTTCAAACCAAACCCTTTGGTTCGAACTAACGTTACTCCTCAAAAAATCACAAATCACAAAAAAATCACAAAAATATTTTGAGGCATAACTTCATCTTTCTCATGTTCTTGATGAGGCACCGTCTTTCATTCTATCTCTGTGGCTTAGAATACGCTCTCTTTGCTTCTTCACATCATTCATCCAAATCCACTTCTTCCACAAATCACCCTCAGCTGAAAATAAAAGCCTTTTCCGAAAGATCCCTTATGGAGTCCCTTTATGGGGGTCCCTTATGGGGATCCCTTTATTTTCCGAAAGAGCCCCGTCTAGACTGGCGCTTTTCTCCGGCAAAGCCCCGAGCCTGAAAAAAGCGGCAGCCATGTTTATGCAAATGAAGCAGGGAAGATTTAAATCCCTGCTTCATTTGCAATTGCGCTGTGGCTAATCTGCATCCCTTTTCCGCAAAAGGGGTGCAGTCTAGACACAGTCAAGATGTATTACACACACACATACGCGCACACAACCACAAAGACAGAAAAGAGAACAACTTATCTGTCAGAAGGCTCCAGTTACAAGGAGCTAATGTTATAGTGGATTTTCAAAATGCTCACTGGAAATTAGACATCTAGGCACTTTTGAAAATCCTACTATAAGCCTTTTCCACCCCCATAGTTATATGTTTCTGCCTGGGTCACAAACCCTATCACCAAATTCTGCCATGTTTGCAGCCTGTGTGCATCTCTAGAACCAGAACCTGCAACTCTGCACGCCTGGACAATCCTTGCTCATTGAGAAATCCTCTAATTTCAATAGAACTACATTCATCCGTAAGGATAATTCACATGAATGAGAACTCTGAGATCAGGCCCCTGATCTGGGCTATGAGTCACACAAAGCCAACCAGTGAGAAAGACACGTACAGTATGTGGGATGTGTTAATTTCCCTTTCTGGAATGTGAGGTCCATGAAACGTAATAAGTAGCGGAGGCGCCAAGATAATGTAGCATGCAACTTACAGCATTCAATGGGATTAGATGCCGCTTGCAAAGAGACTATTCTGCCACTGGATTCAGGGATGTGCACACGGAAGACAAGCCGCACCCGGGTGTTCTTCCTTCCAATGTCCGTCTCCCCTTTCCTCAGTTCGATGTCCGCATTCCTCAACTTCAAAATCCCCGCACAGTCAATGCTGGTAAACAAAGAGAAGTCATGCTATGTATGCATATGACAATGTTTCTGCTCTCAAACATTTCAAAGCCATTTAAAAGGTAAGAGGGCTAACCCAGTTTGCCTCAATGGTTTTAAAGAAGCTAAGATAACAGAACCTCTGAATTCTTTTTTCCATTTTTAATTTAGACACTACAGTCACAATGACCAAGGGATTTCAGCAACATGACTAGGCAGTTGTGTACCTTATTTGTGGCTGCTAGTGCTGCAAATTCATGCACAATCACCATGGTTGTGTGTACATATAGTTAGCTGCACACCTAGCAGGAAACATAGCTATTAAAAAGGTATTTTAACCTCAACTATAGATGCATGCTCTTGTGAAAGTTAACATCAACATTTTGGAGACTTGAACCTAAAATCTGCTTCCTAAAAAAAATGTGTAGGTCATTATAGTAGTTTTATTATTTTTGCCATTTATATTTGTTTACTGTTGTGTGATTGCTCATGAAGGAATGGCAGTGTACCCTCACTTTGTTTCTAGGTTTGCTTAAAGATTGGGATGCTAACTTCTATTCATGTTGAAGTGGGGGTGGAGAAAGGAGCAATGAAGCACTTGTTGGGGGGAGGAAGAATTTTATAGATTTTGCAACAAGGCACAGTTTTTTAACAAAACAGGATAAAATGTGTGTCTCTACCAGCTTTACTCATATCCATTTTAAATAGTGGGATATTCCCTTTCTCCAAACCATCCTATAGCTATTTGGAACATATTCAAGATGAAATTTCAGACTTTTTTTTCTTTTGTTCTATTTGAATATCTATTATATATTTTGAAGAGTTTGTTTGCTTGTGGATTTGTTTGTGCAAAATAAAATCATACTTTGCGATTACCTACGGATACCAAATTTTGCATAAATAATCCTGCCACTTAAGTTAGTTGAATGAACTGCTTTTTTACATTGCATTATGCTTGTTTAAAGGTTTAAATAATTTTTTTTTGGGGGGGGGGAGGGTTGTGATTACCTACAGATACCAAATTTTGCATAAACAATCCTGCCACTTAAATTAGCTGAGTGAACTACTTTTTACACCAGAATATGTTAGGTGAAAGATTTAAATAATTATTTTTTAACTGGAAAAAAGTCATGACTATTATGATTAGAGGCAAACACGTTAATAAAAAATATGAATACATATATTTAATTGCTTGAACTTTCCTATACGTGTAATCGACACAAAATTATTTTGTCGGGTCAACGACAGGCGTTATCTGCTAATTACAAACATAAGAGGAGTGAGCATGGCCCATTACATAGAGCAAAGGGTTGCCAGCTTTGGGTGGTATATTCCTGGAGGTTTCATCATATGACATACTCTTTAATTAAAGATTAATCTTTAATTCCTGGAGATTCTAGGGCAATCTTACAGGGGCTAGCAACCCTTACTGGACAAAGAATGCAAAACACCTGCGTTCTAGTTCTGATGCTAGGTGACTAAACTAGAGCAACACACCTCACCCCTCAGTTTGGTTATCTGAAAAATGGGAATAATGTGACTGACCTCCTTTATAAAGCACTTTGATATTTATGGATGAAAAATTCTGTGAAGCAGCTGGCTGTTGTTATTAGTATTGTACCTTGAAGATAAATCAGCAAGACAGTCTAGACTCCAAAAGCTACTCTAATGACTCTCTAAAAAAGGGAGAATTTCTGAGTTGCAACATGGCTTGCCAGAATTCTGAGTTCTCACTAGATGATGTACAGCTGATAACATCTTTCTGTGACCCAAATCCATCCTCCTCCCTGCACTGTTATATGTGCCTCCACTCTGCACAATATTTACACATTTCCTTCAGTTCAAACCATTATTCACTGCAGCAAGGTTTCTCCCATCCCATAAAAACCATCATAAATACTCCAAAACCCAAGTCATTCACACTAGGAACATTTATACCACTCTGGCATCATAAAAGGGGTCTTCAGTGGTATAAATTACATTGACACCAAAGAATCTAGAACTCCTCTCCAGTACAGGAAGTTAATTCATGTAAGTGCCTCCTCTCCAAACAAGGAATTTCCCATGCAAATTAATTCTGCTTTATCTCTGCTAGAAATAAGAGATTTGCTGCAATAGCATCCTTACGTTGCTCTCATGTTGTTTTTGGGCTCCAGAGGGATCTCTAGAACTTTGGTGTTGCCTATGATTTTCTCATAGCTGGTGGTAGTAACAGTTTTCCCGGTTATGCGATGGACTTGATAGAAAGCATGAGGTTTAAGTATCCGTTCATCTGCTGTCCCAATGAAGATCTGAAGACCCAAGGGTTTGTTCTCCATATAACCATGAAGCTGTCAAGAAATGAAGTTTGTTAGCACATGCTGTACTCTCAATATCCTCAATTATTTAGAAGTTAAAACAAATGCACAATACTAAAACCAGTTTCATCTCATCTCATGTAAATGGGATTTTTCCCTCCAGAAGTATCTTCTGGAGACCTTGGTATATATGAACTATATCTAAGAAAAGATGAATTATTCATTATCCTTTATTTTCCACAGAGAAAAGAAACCATATTGTCTCTATTATGTTTAATTGCAAGCTTTAAAAAGAACTGGGAAGTAACAGGGGAAGTTCTTGACTGTTTGACTCATTCAGCCATTTTTGAAGCAGACAGACAGGAAGAGGGATACTGGTATTTGGCTCAGACTGAGTTTTGAAGCAAAGACTATCTTGTTGTTCTGTGTTTGTACAGCACCTAGCACAATAGGATCCTAGTCCATGGCAGCAGGACTTAATAAAATAATAACAATAATAATAAATGAGCGCAAGTTTTTTAAGTACATTTGCTAAGAGATGAGCGAAACAGGGCTAGAATTTCTCTCTAGGCCAGAAATCAGGGAATCTATCTCTTTGTTTATTAACTTTAAATATTATTCATCAAATCATTCAAAATTTCTGACATCTCTGAACATTAAAAACAGACATATCTATCACACAGCCAGGGTTCTAGCGGAAAAGGACTTTTATGGCCTGAGGCACACTAAATTTGTTTTCAATTAGTTTGCCCGCATACAAAATCTTGATGAAGCCATACAAAGCAAATAATACTGGAAGATCAGAGAACAAAACCATTAAGCTAATAGCATTCATGGCCAAAATCTATTTTTTTTCTTTTCACCAATCAGCAGGAGGTAGCCTTCCATAGATGGATTAATTTATTCCCCATACCCCCTGAAAGAGACCACATGCAGCATCAGTGCTTTGCTAGCAACTTTCCCATGGTATGGTAAATGTAAAGTGACATTCATTGTCCTCTGATACATTATGATTCATATAGCATATATTTACCATACTTATGAAGACAGGATCTTTATCCCAGAGATCTTACAACCTAAGGGCACAATTTTGCTACCTTTAATCAAACAAATAGTCCCACTGAAGTCAATGAAACTTAAGTTCCAAGAAAATGAGGCCTTCTCTACACCAAAAAGGAAGATCACAGCTGCTGCCATTGAGTTTCTGGAGTTCGATTTAGCAAATCTAGTTAAGACTCGGTAAATCAAACTCAGAGGGTGCCCCTGCCAGCATTTAGCACTCCTCCTTTTGTGGGGAGTAAGGGAAGCCAGCAGGAGCATTGGCTCCCATCAGCCTTCAACTGCAGGCAGCTGCCCAGTTTGGCTTAAGGTAAGCTGACTCCAGCTATGTATTCTACGTAGCTGGGGGTGCGTACCTTAAGCCAAGCTGCCAGGTCTAGTGTAGACCTGGCCTAAGGATCACTTGTGTGAGTAAAAGAGTTATATGATCAAGCCCAGGCACAGCTCAGTGTAATACATGGGATGAGAGTTCAGATGTAAGACGGCCTGGAGATATGGCTAATGGAGAGATCAGCCGAGGGTGATTTGTGGAAGAAGTGGATTTGGATGAATGATGTGAAGAAGCAAAGAGAGCGTATTCTAAGCCACAGAAGTAGAATGAAAGATGGTGCTTCATCAAGAACATGAGAAAGATGAAGGCAGCAATTAGGAGATTTAAGTTTCTTATGCTATGTACATAATACTTTTAAGTTGGTAGAAGTTGTGTCACTCGGGGGGTGGGATAATCCTCCTCCTTGAATGACGTATGTTACACCAATCTAAGTGCTGGTGTGCACAGTGACAGCTGTGTCTGTGAGCGAGTTTCTCCTGCCAACATTGCTCATGAGGCCTGGAGTATTTAAATCAACAGGAGAGCTCTCTCCCCTCGGTTCAGAGCATTTGCACCAGGAACACTAGAGAAGTACAGCTGTGAGTTCTGTGGTGTAGCCATAGCCTGAGTCTTCTGGGACAAAGAACCATATAGTAAAGGAAGAAAGCTATCTGGAAGGGGGAGATTCTTCTTTGACTGATGGTCCCTATTGTATTCCATTGAGGGGTTATACACATACACATGACGAAGGGGAAAAAACGTTTTAAGTATTCAGCACAGGATGGTGAACCATGAAATCCTGAAAGCTAATTATGCCTCTGCCACTGATTTGCTGTCTGGCCTTGAGTATATCACATAACTTCTCAGTGCTTCAGTGTTTGGTTCTGTACAATGGGGCTAATGACCCCTTGGGGTGTTGTGAGTATTAACAAATTAACATTTTATGCAGCACTTTGCAGAGAGAAACTAGTGAACAGAGTAAAACTGTAGATTAAGGCTTTATTTTAAAAGGATCTTTCCTCAAAGATTGGATTATTAAGAAATCTTTGTCTTCATAAGTATTCACCTAAATTACACAATCCAGCCAGCTACTTGGCATTTAATTGCAGTTAAGGAACAAGACCTGGTTTACTTCCAGAATATTACTAACTGCTATACTACATAGATGCAGAAAATATGAGCAGATCATTGAGAGAAACATGATTTTTTTTTTGGCCCTTCTAAACAAGTTCTCATCTTCTAAACAAACTCAGAAAAAGACAGAGTTTTCATTATGATTATATGCTGCCATAGTCTAGAGGGAAAGGGCATATTGCTAAATTCTACTCAGGTTAAATGGGAGTTTTGTTGGAATAACGAATATAGGGTCATCTCCCATGGCCAAGGCGTTGTCCCGGCTTACGTTTTATACTTCTTTCAACAAAATAGAAAATAAACATCTAGATTTCAGGATAGAGACTGAAAATTGGGAATTATTTCTGACTAGAAAACCTTGGTGGAGAATATTTTGGGGTATTATAAGGTGAGCTATTCACAATACAACTCCCCCAAACTATATACAGAGGGGACTGGAGAAAACCCAACTCCTTTGAGTCACATTTCCCACAAGGGGAAAGAGAAGCCAGACGTGATGTGTACCTTTCCATACTCTATTTTTGGATTTTAAGATCCTATTTCTTTTAGTAGAAAAGGTTTTTAAAAAACAACAACTATTGCTTTTGCATAACGCTTATATGTTAACATAGTCAGACATGGGCTGGTCTATGACCTGAGGAAATGCAAGGCACTTTGGCAGGTAAACAAATAACATCATTCAGAAAACAAGGAGACTTTTCTTGTTTGGTTTGCTGCAGCAATTGGGTTTTATAAACAAAATGGAAATGTGTGGCATGATTTGACTCACCACTTCATAAACAAGGTTCATTCATGTATTCTACATTGCATCTCTGTATCAATGTCAGTTAAAAATTATGTCTGTGTTTAAGTGAATTATGGCTCTGATTTTCAGAACTAAAAAGCCACACTTTTAATTGCAAAATCTCTGTGCATTTGCCTCTATATTACCATGGTTGTGAGTATGTGTATTAGAAGTCCAATGAACACACAATTACAACACAAAGTTGCAGTAACTGTTACCACAAATTAGGCAAGCAAATGAACATGAAATACTTGTGCATTTCTAAACAAATGGGCCAGTATAGTCTACAAATGGATGTTAACACAAATCCAAAATTCTCCAAACCTTTTAGGAAGGAATTTAAAATTCAAATCTAGAGCCAGATCTGATTTGACCCCATACCAATAATCGGCTGAACCAAAACACCTGTTTGGAATAACTTTCAACTTTGGAAAACCCGAGTGCATCCCTAATGTATCACATACAATGCTCTTTGAATGAATCCCATCACTTTGGATTTAAAAGGCAAATCCTTTAACATTGCTTAGTTATTGCAACTGAAAGCTGAATTATAGTGGTACTTTATAGTGTACATCATTGATAGAGGGGTAAATTTCCTAGAGTCTTTGTGCATGCTCACATAACCCATACACCTTCTGGGTGTGGTGTACTCTCACACATATTGCACACACAGGTATTGGTGTCTACATGGAATTTAGACTGACTTTCTTTGAAATACATGTACTGACTTAAGTTTACATTTATCACCATACAACTTATAAACAGCAGAGCATTGCCCCATCAAAGACACTGCTGATATTGCTGTAAGATGTGAGTCATAGCCCCTTTGTATAAATGGGAAATAAGATGCACAGAGGTTAAGTGATTTGCCTATAGTCACACAGTGAAACAGGAATGAAGTGGGGATAAGAAAATCAGGAGGTGCTCTGTTTTGTACTAGTGGACTAGTACACTAGAAGAATTCTAAATTAATCTGGTACTCCAAAAATGAAATTGTAACAACTTCTGTCACCATCAGCATATGCTATTTATACATCGGTATTGTTATTTGATGGTCTTGTCTTTTTAAATTTGTAGACTTTTAGAGACAGTTTTTTGCAGGCATTTGTTTTGGACACCTTCACTACAGAAAATTACACCCCTGGGTGCCTGTTGAGGGCAGGCAGATTGTGATGCATATTGCACGAAGACTAATGAAAGACCCCTGCAAATCTTGTGGGCACCCATCAGGAGGTCCATGGCAAATCTGACCCTATGTGATAGAAGTGCAAGTGGCATGACAAAATAGAAGGGAATTTTTCCCCCCTTCATCCCAGCAGAACTTCTCCTGCTCAGAACTTGCAGGTCTTTCTCCCCTGATGGGGGATGAAGCCGCATCTTTAAAGCTGATCTCACAAACCTTCCTGTCTAGACAACACAAGCCACTGACAGAATGAATGTATAAAATGAACAAATGAATTCACTGGCCATACTCTTTTTGTTTGCTTGAAACTGATCTTGCTTATTTCAGTTCACCAAGGTCTGAGAGCAGGTCTGTTAACTGTTGCATATTACTTGCTATCTCCCTTTGGAAGTCATGTCAGCTTCCCTCTGAATGAGATGTGTGTATACGTGTTGGTGGATGTGCGTGTGCGGTCAGCTTTTAAAATAACGCACTGGTGATTCAGAGAGACCGCCATCAACCTTTGGTGAAAAGTGGGAAAACAGACCTGCACTGGTTACATTTAATTAGAAGTAAATACAAAG